ATTGTCAAGAACAATTGTAGTGGTGCCGAGCTCAATTAATGTGGAAGTGTTCTGATTGAGGACGAATTGTCTTCGATGATGAGTCCTGCTTTGAACTGAGTTCCAACAACCAGTGCAGACATGTATGGAGATATTCTAGCTGTCACCGGAATCTCGCTTTTACTGTTGAATGTCACAGGGCCCAACAACAAAAAGTTATGATTTGGTGTGTCATTACTTTTGATAGCCAGACCCTCTTAGGGGTAGTCCATGGTACCCTCGTGCACAATGATATGATGCTGACATTCTGTGAACCTTTTGTGATACCGTTCTTTTTGCAGTACCCAGGGCATACCTTCCAATAAGTCAATGTTTGACCATACATAGCACGTCTCTCACGTGAATGTCTTTCCTGGTCATGATGTCCTTTCTTGACCAGCCAGATCGCCATATCACCAGATCTCTCTCCAACTGGGCACACTTGGAACCTGATGGGACATCACATATGGTCATCTGGAAATGTTGACGACATATTCCACCAATTGAACACTGGCAAGAAATCACTCAAGACACCATCTGTCAAATTTATATATCAATGCCACACCAGATAACAGCTTGACTAGGCAAGAGGTATGCCAACATATTATCGGAATAATCATCCAACCATATCAAAATTGTAATAATTTATTTTTATGTACAGTAAGTGTACTAAATTTTGTTCCAGTTGAATAATTTTTTCTTGATGCATCAATTTTTTTTGTGAAAGAGTGTTTTTATTGTTAAATAAATGCTTTTTTCCGGAAACGGTCGACGAACTAGTTACTAACAATTCATTAAATTGTTCTAGGTCAGTATCAACATATTAAAAGTTTACAAAGGAAAATTATGAACACATCACCATCAATTAGCTATGTTTGCAAGTGAATAATTTTATTACAGTTTAACCAAAATTGGAAACATCTGGAAAATGTAAGAGCCGACAAGTCAAACCTAATTTTGAGTTAAGCTTTTTTCCAGATGTTTCTAGATTTAATTACTTAATGATTTAAAGTTTGAAATCATTAACAGATGAATAATTAAATTTTCTAGCCAATCAATAACAAGCTAATGAATCATTAGCATTTAGTTTAATAATAACTTTAATGATTGATGTCATTCTTATCGAACATTAGATGAATTTAAACATTCTAACTGAACATTTAGATTTAATCTGTCAAACTCTTGTTGTTCTGTCTGCATGTGATGAAGTAATTGATAAACATTATCATTTGTATATGCAGTATGTATTTATAAATAGACTGTAGACTTTATATGAATGTTCTGTAAATTCCAGTTATATTTATTAAAACAATTTGCTTGTCCTTGCTGTTAATGAAAATAATTTAGCAAATGAAAAATAATCATTTAAAAACTTTATTAAGCTGTAAAATTTGTATTAAATTTGCTGTTTCAAATTCATTTAAGCTATATTAAAATTAAAAAATCCAGTGTGTGGGGTGCATCTGTTATGATATTTTATTAATAAAAACTTTTTATATTTTTAATTATTATAAGCATGGTAGGGACAGGTTTTATTAAAAATGTTAATAATGAGTAAAATCATCAAGTCTAACCCTACTGGAGATACACATGACCCTCTTTATCTTCCCACAAGAGACCTTTAACCACCAAAATTTAATAGCATCAATCCCTGTAAAAAAATAAGCTGCACTGCAAAATTTCAGAAATTTTTGACAAAAAGCACGAGCATTATTAAGCTTCAAAGAAGGTGAACAAAATCGTGCCACCCACCCACCCGCATCCATACATACAGAAATTACCCACGAATTTTTTTGCATTTCTCAACATTTCAAGGTGTCCAGAGTCCAAAAGTGCAATATCAAAGTTCACGGAGGTGGTCATTTTTTGACAAATCACCATACTTTCCCTCTGTTATATATAACAGCCAGGAAATTAAAAATTAAATAATGTTAATATTTATTCAATAAAACCAAGAGAATGATTTATTGAGTGAAGAATAAAATCATAGAAACACGGTCATTAATTGAAACAACTGCATCAATTTTTTGAAAACATCTCACCAAACATCAGTTCTATATCCACAAGTTTGACAAACACATAAATTTAGACCGAGACCTTCGCAATCCGATTCTGGCAGAAAACTAAAAATAGTAACTATTCCCAATTACTGTAAGACAGCTCATCTTTCCATTTCCAAATGTGCAATAATCACTTAATACGAAACAAACAGTCACCTACATTATCACTTCGAAATGAGTATTTTAAATTCATAATTAATTTTGTATCTGTGCCATAGAAATTTGAAAAAGTATATACTTTTTATTTGTAATTAATGATTTTAAGCATATTATTGATCAACCGACACAAACAGTCTTATCTGAACGACTGTACAGAAACTACTTAAAGTAACATATTAAAATTACAATCATACATATTAAATTCCATTTAGACAAAATTAGAAAACAAATTCATACAGAAGCATCGTTCTTAGATCAATATTTTCAACATTTTTGTAGATTAACATTGTAGATAATTTGTTACAAAAGAAAAGATGACAAATGTAAAATGAACGACAGTTATCTTTGAAAAATTTCTTGTCCCGACAATTTAGTTTTTCGTTTTAAGTGTTGGAAAAATTATTCTAAAGTAAATCATATTGCATTAAATCCTAAATAATTTTAAAATGTAGTCTCTGTCTTAAATTAAGTTTTAACAAAATAAAGCAAGCGAATATTTTATTATTATTATTGTTATTGTATTCTATTATTTCTGATTATTAACACATTCTGTAAACTACACAGGCTGTCTTCATTTTAAGCAAATTCCTGATAATACCAGTTTCAGATTTCCCCCCAAAAATTCTTAAAAGTATTTTTTTCCACAATGCATAGAATATTTCTTGCAGATGCTAAATGCCAATATTTATATAGAAGAATTAACAAATTTAGTTGAACATTTATATGCACAAAGAGAGGAAGGAATAAACGATGATGCACTGGAATGTGTTTTAAAGATAACTTCTGGTGCCCTAAAATAATTTCTTGCTAATGCCAACCAAATGAATGAAGAGTAATCTGTGATAAACCCAGAATGGAGTAAAGCAACTTCGTGAGGAGGAGTTTAAACAAAGTCTTAGCACCTAATTATGAAGTTCTCAAAAGAGAGGTAAAGAAAAGATCGACAAACAACTTGGATTCATATTTTACAAAGGTGCACGGTCCTTGACCTAGCTTGTCACTGATGGATGACCCTCAACTTAGGCCGTCGACACAAGGCTGAAGTTACATCTAGTGACACTGCCATAAGAGATTGACACAGCAGCAGTAGAAAAATTTCATGGTCAATTTAGCTATAAATAAATAAGCATGGATGGCAATTAGCTTTCCCATGCTTTGCTCTAACTGTTGGAATATAGCTGCCTTTTAACTTGTATTTTAATTCTTATTTTCTGTCTCTTTTTCAGTCTAACTTCGATTAGTCCTAGTTGAAAGTTAGATTAGGGACTCTTAACTTGGTTTCCGGTTAGGTTAAATTAGATTAGGTTTGTTAGCTTCAGTCGTCTGGCTAGGTTCATCCAAGGTTATGGTAGGTTAGTTTAGTTAGTGAGCAAGTTAATGTTTAAAAAAAATAATATAAAATAAAATAAAATAATAAAAAATTTTGGAGTCTTGCCCATTTGTCTCTGTCAGTCTGTTCATCTTGTCTAGTTTGTCACTGTGTTTATTTCCTTTTCGTGCTGTCTGCTTAGCTGTTAAGTAGTATTAAGATTCGTGATCGCATTCAAATTTATTACTATTAATTAGATAAAAGTCCTTCTACTAACAGCCACTTGGCACTAACTTCTACACTTTGCTATTCATGGTGGCACTCAATTATGGTGTTCATTATACTCAGATTTACTTTTAGACCCTTCATGACTATGGCCTTGCAGCCTAAAAACTGCATGCCAACATCAAACATAGAGGGTACTGTAGGATCCCTCTGAATGGCGTACATCCATATGTACGCCATTCAGAGGGATCCTACCTTTCTCTACTGTCTATCTCCTCCTTCCCATTACCCTTTTTTCTGCCGGCTAAACACTTCGGGTATGGCTGATGTCTTTCTTGTATGTTTCTTGTATGTATGTATAAATAAATAAGTTATAATATATGTAGTATTATTATTTTGTGTTAATAAAACTTTTGATACTAAACATGTTTTTATTGGAAAAAAATGCAGTATACTCATTTGCAGATGCCTGGAACACAACCTTATTTATTTCATAATAAAATGGATTCATTTTGTGCCAATTTTGTTTATGCCACCTCATCACCAATGTAAAATGAGGGCAGCCCATATTTGATAAAAGCATTAAAACATAAAACAAAATCAAGTATGATTCCAAATTTATTTTCTTTTTGTGAGGTTATTTTTTTATTACCAGATAAGTAAAGCATTACAATCAAAATACAAACTTTAAATGTATTAATTCAAACACTTTATGATTAAAATATGTAATAAATAATTTCTATACAGATTAACTAATATTAAAAGAGTTAAAACACCACTTGCTAGAGTAAAATGATATAATAAACACTTCAATCCGAAAGCTTTAAATTGTATTCCAGTGATGTTTTACTTTGAAATAAAAATTTTTCAACTAATATTTTCAGTCTGCAATTGGAGATCTTCTTCAGATTTGCATATTCAAAGATAGAATGATTGAATAGAAACAATGATGTTTTTTGAAAAATTAAATGAAATAAATTCTAAAAATATAAGAATTTTTACTAAGGCTTATTTAAGGCCTTTGGATTGAAATGTTTAATGGATCATTTGGAAGTATTTTTGGTATCCCAGTTAATGTGATTCTGGATAATGGAGGGTCTACTGTATATTAAAGGTCATATTTCTAGAACAAATATATAAAACTATATTCTATCAGGAGCAATAACAAGCAAAATACAAAGATATGTATCATAATAGTGGAATACACAGGAATTATATTTTTTGAAAGCTATAAAATGTTTAAATTAAACAAACATAAATGAAAAAATAATTAAAAATAGGCAAAAAATATGCACAAGTCTTACTTGAAATCCATTTAAATCTGTGAAGAACTCTTGATTATTATTGGTTATATTTGTATAAAATCTCATAATTAATTCTTTATTTACTTCACGGGTCACATCAACAATGTTATAGATATCCAATCCGGCACTATCTAATCCTAAATCCAAATATATATCAGAGATAACATTATCCTATTTTCCAAATATATTACTTAATATGAATACATAGAGAAATTTCTAAAATACCTGCAGTATTCTTAACTCTAATACGATGTTCTACTTCCGGTAGAAAAACTGTCACTTCGGACACAAGAGGACCTTTCAATATTCTAATTTTTGGACAACTGTATTTCAAATTCTGTTTAAAAAATATAAATTAATTTAAAATATCATAGTATTTAAGTAGAACTCGGATAAAAATATTAAAAAACTGTTCAGAAAATAAATTTTATACCATTTCTTGTTCTCTCAAAGAATTTTAAATAATAATTTTATCAACTTTTAAGACGAAACCAATCATTGAACATACCTGTGCTGCAGCATCGGGCAAAAACAGATACGCTCCACTCCTGTCTTTACCTTTAGGTCTCGTTCCATACAAAAGAAACTGTATTCTGGCATCGATCGAAATTCCCTCTTTTAAAATGATTCTCTAAAAATTTTAAGAAACTTAGTAAAATTGAATTTACAGATAAATACACAGAAAAAAGTTTATTAACTTTACCCTCAGCATTCCATCTGCACCAGAGAAGACAGCTGTTATAGTGGAAGAACTAATCATAAATTCCTGAGGAGGCGTCAAGGACTGGATGGAAAATTTTCTAAGAAAATATTTTAAAATGTTACCATTTAATAACCATCATAAGAAACAAGATTATTTAAAATTTTATTTCTTTAAAAACAAAAATGAACTGTATTGTAAGCAATACTGAAAATGACTTGACAATAGGACTGAATAAATATAAATTTGAATGAAGAGAATTATTGAATCTGAAAGATGTAACAATAAAATATCTTGAATTAGACAAAAATGCCATTTCTTTTGTTTTAATCAATGTATAAAAAAAATTATTAAATATGGTAGAATCTGTTAATTAGCAGAGTCTAATGTATTTAATATTTCTTGTAATCAGTTTGGAACTTTTCTATTCTTATGATGATAACTGACCAACAACATTAAGCAAAGTAAATATTAATGACAATTAGGAGTAGCTTTGGTTTTATGGCTTAAACTTCAAAATTTATTAATTCTAATTATTATTAACAGTAATAAATGCCATTTTGAAGTATCGTACTGTGAGCAAATAATGATTAAAATGATTAGTGTTTCAAGCATCAGTCAAGACTGATAAATTAAAATGACTACATGTAATCAGTCAGGGTTTGAGTTTGACAGTGTGAAGAAACAACTTACAGCCTGTATGCAATAAACTTGCACCTCTAGTTCTCCTTTAAGTCACCTGCTAGCACCAAAATATTTAAAAGATTCCATATTTTATATGAACAGTGGACTCTTGAAAGTGGGAAAGTTATGACATGTAACATTACATTTCTAACTTCACCTTTAACATTTTTCCAATTTTTATTTGTGTTGACCTAAAATTTCTGATATTAGATGACAGTTAACAATATCCACCATTACAAGAAGCACATTGTATTGTATAATTGCAAAATATAAAACTTTAATACATAAAAAACAATGATCTTTCAGTTGGCTAAATATCCTTAAGCTTTATTCATCTCCATTTTGCGAGATTAATAAAACTTGATAATATTTAGAGATTGGCTAAGATAACAAGAATAAGAAAAGCTACTAAAAAAATTTTTAAATACAGCTTAAAGGAATGACAATTCTTTAGTATTCTACACTATAAAATACCATTTATGAAAAGGCAGAGGGTAAAACAGAATCCAGAAAACTATGGAAGTATAAAAAAACTACATCTTTAGTAATTAAAGAACAGTCACAATTTATGACATAGGCCAAAGCAGCACTAGACAGACAAATTTAGTATATATATTACAGGATAATACAAAGTTATTGAAAGAAATCTTTAGAATGGTACTATATTGTTCACTATCTGGTATACGAAACATCATTAACAGGGAGATACTTCCGTCTCTCCCTGTTACTCAGGTATTGATGTGAAAGGATGTTAAGCATTCATGCTACCACATATGAAGTATGAAGTAATTATAAATGTTAGATAACTAAAATATTATGTACTGTAGAATATTTTGTTCAAATATATATATATATATCAGAAAACAAGGGCATATACAAGGTTCCTACTCAAATTTTTGTTTTGAATTCCCTAATTTTCCCTGACCAACTTTGTCCAAATTCCCTAACCCTCACATTTCTTAGTATGGAATATCGNTTACTCTTATTGGAAGTTGTATTCAAATGCTCATTACAGACCCATTTTCTATATTTTCAATCAGTTAACAAGAAGAAAGTGTAGTAATTTCTATGTCTACAACAATGATTCAGAATGTTAAGTTGTTTTTGTTTTGAAGTTTTCCAAGTCTTAATCAAAACCTTGATCATCATTATATTTTAGATGGGATATTTGGGATAGCAGATCTATGAATATGAGGATTTTATATCATATAGATTCCCAGTCTAAATATATAGATAATATGACTGGGGAATCTAAATCTTGTTTCTTTATGCTTTCCTCTTTATAATTAGCTCTATAAATGCACAATATATTAATGCCAACAATGTTCAGCAAGTTATAAAAAAACTAGCAGATGAGCCCAGCATTTCTCGAGCAAAAAGCAATGGTAGCAAAGATTAAAATTATTAGATTATAGCCAATCTTATCTGTTTTCACCAGGTGCAAGAATTAGGTCTCCTTTTTCTGAGACTAATTAGAGAACTTTTAGATGGGTCTAAAAATATGTTTGATTTTCCGCAAAAACACAAAAACCATATCTAAAATAGTATAGTAGAAGCTGAGTTTTTCAGAGTAATCCTTAAATGTAATATACATGCTTGAAATTATTTAAAATATTTTTTACTTAAATGGCATTAATATTGTTTGAAGCAATGAATAACTTATTACTACTAAACATCCTCACTTACTTATTTTGTTTCATGTTTTCAGTATAAGAAATTAGAAAATTCAATTATGTAGTTTACTATAGGTCCTTTCTTTGGTTTTTCCTTTATAGTTAAATTAAGGAAAAACCAAAGTAAGTTTGAAGTTCATTAGCATTTGTATAGGAATTGTTTATTTAGATTCTAATTCTTTCCTTTCCTTAAAGCATTAACATGAAAGAAAATTCTCTGCTTTTTAAGCAGAGAATTTTCATTTTATGTTAATGCTGTATAAATATTCAATAAAAATTAATCTTTATATATTTTTGATTACTCAGTAATACAAATTAATTTTTTTAAAACATTTTAAACATAAATATATGAACATATAGTAGATTTACTTCTCTCTCTTTTACCAAAAAAAGAAAAACTTAAGGAATTAATAAAAATTAATGCCATCTTTGTATATTTTATTTAAATAATTTTCCAATACTGTATTCAATTTTTATTGGTTATTTCCATAGTCTTCATGTAGACTGAAAATTAATACTAATTCAAATTATTATCTTGTTAATCATATCAATATTATCATATAATTATACATTCTTACGGAGTTTATCAAACAATTTTAATACAGATAAGAGTAATTCAAGAAAAAGAGTCACCTTGTTTTCTAAGTTTGTTTGAAGGTGGAATGATTATTTACAAAGGAAAGAGAGAAGACTATTTAAGTAACAAGAAAGGTTAGATAAATTTAAAAAAGGGGGAAAATGAATTTAATAAAACACTAATTTTCAAATACTTCTAATAGAAAAATGGAGGTTGTTTATGCTTCAAGGTGAAATTCCACAAGAAGCAGCTTTGTTAGAAGTTGTATGCAGTACTCAGAGTCTTAGAAGTCGGTCTTCTTTTGCTCTGATTGATACAAATGTAGGAAGTATATACATATGGCATGGCTGCAAGTCATCAAAACATTCAAAAGAAGCTATTTTGAAAGCAGTAAATAAACTAATAGACAAGTAAGTGCATTTTCTTTTTTTTTTTTTTTATATTGTTAAGAAAATTCCAAACATGCATAACAGGCTTGAATTGTACTATTAAAAATTTGATTATATATTGGGCTAGAACTTAGTAAATTAATTACATACATATGTAATTTGGACTAAATGTGGGTGATTAAGTTGCCATCTTATTTTTAATTATTAAATTTTAATTATAAGCAAGTTAACACTGGTTAAACTATTGGATTACCTGTTGATTTTTGAAAATATAACTACAATATATTTATATGATCAATCTTGCCAGTTTTTAACCCTAAATTTGACAAAATCAGTGATATTTGTTACCCAACGTCATTTCAGTTAAACTAATTATTAAACTATGTATCGAAGTTGCGTAAAAAACGAAAGAGAGGGGAAAAATATGCTTGCAGTACAATACTTTCAAGGAAAATTGTAACAACAAATATAAAAAGCTTCTGCCAACAACAAGTCAGCGCCAATATTTTACTGTAAACGTCGGGTAACTATTTATAATTTTTTATGTTGTGTAGTAAGTAATGTTTTAAACGTAAAAAACAATTAAATTACAGATTTTTACTGATCTATTTAGCTACTTTGAAATGAACATTCTAATAAATTACAATTTCAACTGTTAAAAGTTTGCGAACAAGTTTTTAATTAGTTATTTTTTATTCTAATAAACAATTTCATCTTTTTATAATCGCTGAATTATTAAAATTAAGGAGACAAATTCCCTGACTTTTTGACAATTTTCAACAAATTCCCTGACTTTCCCTGACTTTTTCCGAACACTAATGAAAATCCCTGACTTTCCAGGTGCATAGGAACCCTGCATATACAGTATAATTTGTGCATTTTTGTGCAATTTCAACAGAAATTTGTGTGCAAACATATCGTATTAATAAATTGGCAAATCATAAATAAAAATATTCACATAATTTTGTACATTATTTATATTGTTTTCAGTATCATTAAGAACACATGCAACACAAATTAAACACAGAATATTACATACCGACTTTCAGGTGCAGAATCAAAATTATATAACACAACAACAGTTTTTTCTACATCTTTATCTTCCATAAAATGAAGTGTGTAAGTAACCAAACCTAAAGCTGGAATTTCTGCTAAGAAAACAAGCTGCCATACAAAATAAAAAGCATTTAAATTGTGCAGTGCATTAATAAGTTTAAATAATAACAGTAAATTTGAAAATATGCAATATTTTATTTTTAACCGTTACTCAAAAGAAATACCTCGTATTCTTCTTCAACGATTGCACTTCCGACAAACACTGGGTTGATCTGACTCGGCACTACATTTCCTAAAAAATCTCTTACTTCGACAGAAGAAGCTGAAACGTGGCAGCTAATTAATTCTTTACGAGTATGAGTTAGCGAATTGTACAAAATCAAAGTCCTGAAAATAACATTTAATTAACAAACATTAGTTTTTAAATACATTTACATTTAATTCATCACTACAGATGATTTGACGAATAAAATTTAATTTCTTGTTTGTCATAATGATCATCAACTTAAACACAAATGCATTTGTTTTTCTTAAAATAACAATTATTATTTTATTTATAAGTAACATTTATAAATAAGTTTTTATTAGTTTAATTATGAAACACAAGTTTTCAATCTATCTATTATATATCTTGCATAAATAAAGAAGCCATAATTTCTCCTTAATTTATGCAAGAAATGCCTTCCAGAAAGTCTCGTACAATCTAAATTCACTTATAATGTAAATGATAACAAAAAGAAATGTCATGGTAGATCTAGAAGAGTAACTCTCTCATCCTAAGTCATCCCTAAAGGAATATAACCATTACAAAGTAACTAACAAGCACAAAAATAAAAAAATTATGTAGTTCTGATAGGCAACCGATCAACAATCTTTAGCAAAACAAGGCAAAAATTGCAGGCTGTCATACTAGTCTGTTAACAAATTTGCCATAAATATAATTGCAGTACATTATTATTAACTAAAAATAAATCCCTAATTACACAAAAAATAACAGACAATATAGCATTAATAAAGAAAAATTAACTAAAAGCTTGAAATACAAGAAAAACTGTTCCTGTAGTAGCCTTTTTTCTAACAGAATTTATCAGTCTGAAGGGCATCGTAGTTCTTAACGTAAGTGTCCTAGATGGTAATGTTTGAAAATGCTTGGACTTTTCAAATTTTTAGGCGATTTTTCTTCATTAAAATATTTTGTGTTTTTTTTTTATGAAGTAATTTGCTTACTAAAAAATTACCCATCTTTGCTGCTCGAAAGTCAAGTAAATACTCATCGAGGGTAAATTTATACTTAAAGATTGCAAAAGTATCAACAAATTTTATCTAAGATGTGTAAAAATATCCAGAAATAATCAAATTTGAATAGTTTAAAAACTAACTGTTGCAAAAAAAATCACCCCAAGATTTTTTATATTTCTGGACTTGGGGTAGCTTGAAACATCAAGGAATGCAAAAAAATTCAGGGATAATTTCTGTATGTATGGATGTTCGTGTGGGAGGCACAATTTTGTTTACCCTTTTTGAAGCTTAACTCCCATGCTTTTTGTCTAAAATTTCTGAAATTTTGCAGGGAGGTTTGTGTATTAGGGGATTGATGCTATTAAATTTTTGTGACCAAAAGTCAAGAGGGTGGGGAGATAAAGGCAATCTCATGTATCTCCAGTAGGGTTAGACTTAACCTGTTCTGTGTTTTGCACTTGTTTAAATTCATAAGTGAAAATGCCAAACATGCATGCACAAAATCGAGCATTGTCTTTCAGTTTTGGAAATGATGTATCTGGCAGTTCTTTGTAGAATGTGAGGAGATCAGAATTTTTAAACTGTGATTTCAATTCATCATTGCTCTGGATGTCTGTCAACTCAAGTTGGACATCTGGAGGCATCTTCCACTTTCACATCAAATGGAGTTGAGAAAAGCTGCAGGTAGATCTTGTATTTCTGGAATTCACCAAACTTCTCATTGAATAATGTAAGGAGGGTGTTAACTTGGTCAGAGTAATCCATCTTCATATGTGGGTATTTCTCTGTCATGGCCTTGCAATGTGGAAAGTGTGTGAAGTTCTCTGATTGCATGTGTGACTTGAAAAGTGCTAGTTTCATCATAAATGCATTGATGTTACTTGCCAACTGAGAAACAAGTTGCATCTTTTCCTGCAATCTCAAATTAAGGTCGTTTAGATAAGCAGTAATGTCAGCAAGGAAAGCTAAATCACACTGCCATCTTTGTCCCTCCAAATTCCTTGTAGTGTTCCCCCATTCTTTGAGGAAAGTGATAATAGGCCCAATAGATCCACAAATCTCTTGAGGACTGTTGCATTGCTCAGCCAACAAACTTCAGTATACATGGTCAGGTCAGCATAATCAGCATCTATTTCTTCAAGAAATGATGTGAAGAGTCGATGGTTGAGTCCATGAAGGCAGATTAAGTTCACAGTATCATAGAGATCTTTCAACAGGTGTTCAAATCCCAGCTTCTTTGCACAAAGTTGCTGTTGGTGAATTATGCAATGATACTGGACTAACTCCTTTTGCCTGTCCCCAAGGTGGTTTTTCAGCAAGTTGACCATGCCATTCTCATATGCCATAGATGGTGCTCCATTAGTGGCGATGCTGGATAGCTTGTCAAAGTCCAGTGCTGATTTGTTGCAAACACTCAATAAACCAGTTAGTAAGTCAGCACCAGTTGTATGTCTGGAAAGCGACAGCATGCCAAGAAATTCTTCATTCACAATAAAATCTAGTGAAACACTTCTAATAAACACAATCACTTGTGCTGTTGATGATATGTCAGTGGATTCATCCACAGCCAAAGAAAAATAAGCACAGTTTGCAACTAAGGGGTCTGTATGTGGCCCCTGGGCTGCAGGTTGTGCATCCCTGCCTAGATAAAAAAAAAAGTTATGTTGAGAGATTGGAGAGATTGGGGTTAACAAGTTTGCTAAAACAAATTAGCAGAGTAAAAGTTACAATGTTTTGGACTTATAACAGAGGAGGAGGGAAAGAAACTTCCAAAACAGCCTTATGAGAGAAAAGTTATGGGAAAGAGACCAAAAGAAAGACCAAGAAAAAGGTGGAGAGAGATGATTGAGTATGATAAACACAAATAGCCAATACCAAGATAGCATGGAGAGAAAAGTAGTGGGAAAGAAGAGATGGCAATTGTTGATCTACAGATGAGTACAAACTAGTCAATGCAGTTGCTTTTGATACATCAGATAAAATTTGTGTAGTCGCAAGACTGTTTTCCTTCGACAAACCTGCAACGCTGTGGTTTGTGATATCATTTGACATAACTCTAAAGAACCAACAAACATTTCTTCAACCTCTAGGCAAATTATCACTTAGAAAAGTTTGTTAACAAAATGAAAAAAATCAACAATCACGATGTGTTGCTTATAACTTTGTGCTACAAACTCTGGTGTTTTATATATATATTAGTAGTCCAGGCCGCCCCCTAGTGGGCATTCCAGCAGCAGGTGTGTCATTCCATGGTATAAATAATAAATTCATATCAATAAAAATTTTTCCCCTTACTATGGGGAGGGGGATAAAGATTACCCCCACGGGAGGAAATTTTTAACCCTCTCTAAGGATTACACCTCCTCCAACAAAGAAGAGGGTAATCCTTAACCCTCTCCCCATAGCAGGAATTTTAAAAAAATCCTTTCTTAATGTGCATTTTTATGGCATACCCTACTAAAATGCAGTCAAAAAACGCAAAAAAATCACATCTAATAATAATATACTGAATTTATTGTTAATTTAAATAATAGCTAGAGATGCCCTAGTGGCCATTCTAGGCATTCTGTCACAGATTACAGATATACAAACACGCAATCAATGGCTTATATTATTAGATATAATTCAATAATTTAATAATAGTTCAATAATTTAACGTTATTATTATAATATTCTTATAAGTATGATAACCAGTTAATTTTTTGACTCAAAATCGCAGCTTGTAGTGAAACAAGTTGCATAAATATTTTACTGCGCATGAACATTTCATGATTTTTGCACAAAAAAAATCCAACTTGTTAAATTTTTTTGAGAGTTGTCAAAGGGACTGCCACTTTCCATAGAAGGGTATGACGTAGAGGACATCGAATCAATAACCAGTTGAATGAATTTGACTGGTTTGCACTAGCCTATCTCACCCTCCCACACAGCCTCAGAATGAAAGTAAAAAAAAATAATTATTATATATCTATTTATACACACTACTTCACAATACAGTGGTGCCTCGAATAACGGACGCTGCGAACAACGGACTTTCTGTTCGGCAGTTACGTGAGGTGAACAACACACTTTTCATTCAGCAGTTACGTGAGGCAAACAACGGTCTTTCTGCGAACAAGTGCGAATGACGTTTCCACTCTTTTGCCATTGCCAATGACAATCTGCTATTTTTATAATATATTAATATTATTAGAATATATTATTAGTATATCTGAAGTACAGAGCTCCCGTTGGGATTCGGCTTGCTCCCTTGTTTATTACGTACATCACCTCAGTGCAGGGTATTTACATTTATTCAAGTGTTGTGCAAATCATGGCTTCTAAAAAAACAGAAAGGTGATTTCAATTGAAACAAAGCAAGAAATCATCAGAAGGAGTGAAAGTTGACAAAAACTTCCTTGTCAAATGGGGAGAGGTTCAATAGTTTACCAACACTTATTATCCAAACAGAGTGAGGCCAACAAGATCAATGATCTCTACAATAACACCCTTGCCTGTCATTTCTGACAGGTGTTGAAAAAGAGAGAGAAACAGACCACCTTGGACATGTTTTTCAAGAAGCAAGCTGCCAAAAAACAAAGGATGGAACAAGAGGAGATGACCCTGCAAGCTCTGGTAGCCTCTTCTGAATCTGATTAAAAAACAATAAAAAGAGACCTGCTGAAATGTGTAAAAAGTCTGTATGTGTATGAATGTGTAAAGAAAGTGTTCCTCCACCTCCTCCTCACAACATCTGACTACCCGACATAATTGGTGACTGCTCCATTTTCATTTTTTTATGGTACAGTACGGTTATTTTATGCTGCGGAACGAATTATATGTTTTAACGTGCATTTCTGTGGGAAAATGCGTTTCATATAATGGACTTTTCACTTAACGGACGTGCACCTGGAATGGATTAAGTACGTTATACGAGGCACCACTGTACATTTATAATAATTTTATCATAATACAATTATAATATCTACTTATAGATTATCTTACTTATTTTATGCTATTAGTCTTATAATCATTGTTTAACTTTTGTTCCAAAATCAGAATTTTGTCAAGTGACTGACAATAAAAATGAATAAAAATTAATAGACAAAGAATTAAACATCAATAATTACAATAATCAATTAAAATAAATGTAGATAATAATATAATTATTATATCATATTTTAATGCAAATATTACCTTAAGTATTGCATGACAGATTTCAATGTATATATTATTTAGATTGGATATTTATTCAAAAATTTACATATGAAATGTAAAATTATTTTTTATCAGAATAAAACACACAAAACAGTAAAATATTTTTAAAACTGTATTTCGAATACGAAGAATTAATCTTTCTTACCTTACATTTTGTTCAGAATTTAATTTAATATTAATTTTCTCTGGAATAGTATTATATTGGGACTTTTTAGTATCCTATTAATTAAATGAAAAATTTTTATATTTAATTCATGTAAATTTTACATATTATTATTTAAAATAAGAAAAATTATATACTACAAGTATAATACAAGTGTATAATACAAGTGTACATGTGTGTTTATTTTTGATATGATAACAATAATTACCAACGAAAATATATCATAACATTTACGAAATATCTCTATTATACGAAAAAAGCTTTTTATTTTTTCTGTCGTAATTACCAAACCACTCTTAAACAAGATTTTCAAATAAATATAATTTATGTATATATAGTCAAATCTGATTAATTTCATTCAAATTATTAGCTACTTCAAATCTGCTATTATCCCTTTAAAATTCATATTTAATTAGTGTTAAAAAATATATTTAATTCAAATGTTTTTAGCATAAATCTGACTGATTCAAACATAAAATTTCAAAAACAAACCCTTGAAAGGGTTAAGGAGTCAGAAATTTGTTTTATGAAATGGAAGATCTTTCAACTCTGCTTCAGATCCCAGTCTGTAGTCTGCTCTGAAAGCAGATGTGAGCCACTTCATATGCAGATAAAAAAGTATTCTCCCCTTTTTTCACTCAACACCCACATCCCTCTTCTATTCCAAACAGATCACAGTGAACAAAATAATCAAATGAAGAATAATACACAAGTGACCAGATATCCCGAATTTGGCAGAACAGTCCCTCTTTATAATATGCCATCCCAATCTCAAAACTGTCTCAAAAAATATCCCAATTTTGGACCATTCTGTAATTCTATCCAAAAGCAGACACTATTCATTGCATAAATTATAAGTAAAAAAAATGAATTGCATATAAGTTATAGCATAAAAATTTTAACATCCAATTTACAGAAACAGTAGTCCAACTGGTAATGAATGTATCTAGAGAATAGTGAATGTATAGGGCAAGTACCATGTTCAGGCAGATTAGTTTTAAATGGAAGTTAATGGATTTTGCTAATTATCTGAGTTAAAAGAATGGTAATTAAAGCAAAAAAATCTACACTCCAAGTTGTATTTAACTGTTAATTATCACTGTAGGTCATTATTTTGCTGTAGGTCATTAAATGCTGTAGGTCATTATTTTGTAAACAAAAGTGTATGGCTAAGAAAAATGTTTATTAACTGTTTGAGATATGTTATCAATGATGATGGAAAGTTAAAAAACTGGCAATCATCAACTAGAATCAATCACATAACTTGTGATGTCACATCAAAGCATCCACCTAATGTCCTGTTTTTACATTTCAGGATCTGGTCACTTTAAAATAAGGTAATTAAAATAGCTGCAAAACATATAGGAAAGATATAAATTTAACAGGTGCATTACAAAGAGACTTCAAAATCTACCGATAATCAATATAAATTGTAAAGTAGCCATAAATAAGAAAATAAAACTCGAAAAGAGAAAGTAGCACTTAGTCAACTGACTTACAGAATTTGAAGCTTCCTAAAATCATACATTACATAAACCTCCAGGTATAAATTAAACTGTCACACTTCACAATTTCAGTGACATTTGCATCTAAATATAGTTATTTGGCTATGTTTTTACAATATTCCAGCACAGAACATAAACAAGTTTATCTTCAGCTTAAAGAAGTTATTAAAGGAATGGAAAAGAAAATAAAGAGAAAATGAGATATTGCCAAAGAATATGGAATACTGACAAACACTAAAAACTTGCATAAAATTAGTTTAATTTTCTAAAATGGATAATCCAAATTAAAAAGATTCAACTACATAAATAAACATATATACATGTGTACTGTAGGTGTGTGTGTGTGTGTGTGTGTGTGTGTGTGTGTGTGTGTGTGTGTGTGTGTGTGTGTCTTCAGTATATTAGAAGTTCACAAAATTAAAATATTTATTAATTTAATTTTTATAATGAAAACATACCATTTCCAAAAATATTGTATTGGCATCAAATGGCAATTTATTACTTCCATAGATCAGCAGTTGTTGAGATAGTTTTGATATTGTTTTTTGAAGAATTTGCAGAGAATTATACATCCTACAAAAGAAATTTGATATTAAATATATATTAAAGACAGAAAAGGATCAAAAATGCCACTATGATCTATGTTATGAGTGATACAAAATAGATGCACAGTGACTTTTTGATCATAGTCTTTTATTTAACAAAATCATTTTATTGAGTTTTAAAATACAATACAGCCTTGGTTATCTAATGTAAATTGAACTGCAAGTGTATTGGATAATAAAAAATAATGAATAATATAAAGTAAATAAGATCTTTCAGTTAACTGAGATTTATTTAAATTAAAAAGCTTAACCATCATTTTCCAGTTTTCTTTTATTTCCCAAGAGGCTAGATCTACCCTTCTCAAGGACCCTGGTGTAAAGTTTGGCCTGAGATCTGAAAATTTCAAAATCCATCTTTAGCTCATTGACGTACACAGGGAAAATGTTGTGTTCTCCATACACATTCAATGTTATTCTCCCCAATGTCAGATCACATATGGCATACTGGAACTATGGATTTGCTGAACATATTTCAGTGAAATGTATATCATCAACCCCAATAAGGCCCAAATCTGGCCTCTTCCGACTCAAGTTTTGCCACATTTGAAGGAACATAGAGTTAAGCTGTCACCATTTCATTATTGGTAAGTAAATGATAGCCATTGTTGTTGGGTATTTACAGCAATAGAAACACTTTTTGAAAATAGGCTAAACAAACTTGTTACGTGTTGCAATAAACACATAAACAGGCTGAGTAATTTTGTGAGAAATAGGATATTGCTTGAAGATTAATCCTGCATGTTTTCATTTCAGTAATAAATGAATGAATTATTTCTTGCCTAGTTGTAAGTGTTCTTACAACTAGACAAGAAATAAAAAACTATGTCCAATTAAATACAGTAGAACCTCGAAAACTCGGCCAAATGTGGACCGAAGGGTGGCTGAGTTTGTGAAAATGCCGGGTTATTGGGAATGGGGTTAAAAAAATAAGTACGAGTGTTTCCTCAGAAAATACTGTACTGTACTTTTATGTATTGTTTACTTGAGAATACAACAGAGAATAAACTGCCCAAATACCCTTAAACAAAGGAAAAGTACGTCCTTTATGAAGGCATAGAGCCTTTTCTACATGAAAATGAAAATTAATGAATACACTGTGTACAGTAATTTACCTGATAAGACAGACCTCAGAAAAATAATTTATGAGAGCTTTTATACTTCTATAAAGCTGTCTATAATGAAAATTAATTAACTAAGGATTTTTTTGCCCTGCCAGAGTGTGGCCGAGTTATCCGGAGTGTCAGGTTATTGAGAGCCGAGTTTTCGAGGTTCTACTGTAGCTACTTAATTTGCATGCAGAAATTAATACCTAACTGTGAAGATATTTACATAAAAAATGTATTTCAAGAAATTTTGTCTTATATTAATAGATTTTATGTAAATAAATCTATTTTCTTTTTATTTTCCTTATTTACTTATAGTTTCACAACAAATATTTTGCTCAATACAACTAGTATTAAATAAATAGCTTATTATTGATGAAATTCAACAGTAAATGTTAATATTTGAGTTCAGAATTAAGTATCAGCAAAATGATTTAAGTTTTGTTTATATGTGGGGTGATCAAAACTTTAAATTTATTAAACCACACACAATAGTATTATGATAGAAAGTCAATTGAGAATTGAAAATATAACCAGCAGCAGAGATGGGGTTTATGCCATCTGGAAATCCTTGAGTTTTTGATCCCAACAAAAAATACATATCAAATACACTTAGAGAGAAAATGAAAACAACATACAGCTATTGAGAAAAATCTGTGAAAAGTTAAGATATTATTACTATTGAATAAAATTATATTAAAAATCTTAGTTATATCTTGTACTTTCCCAACTCTTCATTCAAAGTGAAATGTTAAAAGCAATAAACCAGTATTAAAAATACTTTAAAACTATTACCATTTATTATTTTCTTTATTGTTCTTATATAAGCATCTCAATCTTCAAATGTAAAAACAATAATCAAAATAAGCAAAAAGTAGAACAGTAGAAGAAAAAAAAGGGTGTAGACATAAAAAGTACAAGTGTAAAAAATAATTTGTGTAAAGACTAAAAATGTCTAAAAATGCACAATTTCTTTTTATAAATGTTCTTAAGATGTGTGTAATCTAGTTGGAGTGCATCCTCAAACTCACTCAACAAGTGAATAGCATGAATAAAAACAAAGATTACTGCAAAATTGTGTAATTAAGTCTTTGAATGTACAGTACATGCATAATGTAGTGAGAAGGGATGCAGAGACTCACTTCATACTATTATAAAAAAAAAATTAGGAACATTTAAAGACTTTTGACAGCATTGACCTTTCTTTTGGGCTACTCAATCATTATATATATATATATTCCAGTGTTAAAATGTCCCAAATCTAACACACGATGTCTTCTCCATTTGCCTATCTCACAGAACAGTCAGAATTGTCAGAATTCCAAGCATTAAATTAACATTCCAGATCTCCTCAATACATAAGTGTTCTGTTATCATCTGACTAGCAGACCCCGCCACGCCGCGTTGTTGTGGCTCAAAATGTATCTATTATAAATTTATAACACTTCCCCCGTGGGGGGGAATTTTTCGAAAAATTTCTTCTTAGTGTATATTCTCTTGACATACCCTATTAAAACACAATCAAAAACGCAAAAACCCACATCTAAAATAGTATAATAGAAGCCAAGTTCTTCACGGTAAGCCTTAATCCTGTCTCTCTCCCCCGCGGGGAAAATATTGAAAAATTTCTTGTTAGTGTACATTCTCTTGACGTACCCTATTAAAACGCAATCAAAAACGCAAAAACCTGCATCTAAAATAGTATAATAGAAGCCAAGTTCTTCACGGTAAGCCTTAATCCTCTCTCTCTCCCCGCAGGGGGAATATTGAAAAATTGCTTGTTAGTGTACATTCTGTTGACGTACCCTATTAAAACACAATCAAAAACGCAAAAACCCGCATCTAAAATAGTATAAATAGAAGCAGAGTTCTTTACCGTAAGCCTTAATCCTAACCATCTCCCTTCAGTGGGTTAGAATTTTGACATGTATATTATATAAAAACATGTGCGTATGTATTCGAATGCAGCATTGTGTCAAAATTTCAAAGGAATTGGTAGGAACAAACGAACATTACATTTTTATTTATATAAATAGACTAGCCGTTACCCGCGACTTCGTCTGCGGAGGTTTTGCAAGCAAACCCCATTTACATTCAATATTTCAATAACCATAGTAATTGTTATATAACACTTACCGCTGAAGAGAATTGCCGAGAATCAAACGAACTATTTTCAATTTGATCAATTTTCTGGAATGTTTACAATCGTTCTATAATTGAACCAATATGCAATAACAAATTCAAATTTAAAACAGTTCGAACATTTTTAAAATCAAAATAGATAAAAATATTTATAACAATGTCTGAAATGTTATCAATTTAATACACCTAAGTACTCAATGAAGACTAAACGTAATTGAAAACAAAAAATCGCATCTAAAATAGTACAGTATAAGCCATTCTTCCGGTTAAGCCTTAATGCTCTCCCTCACCCCCGCAGGGAATTTCTAAAAATTCCTTCTTAGTGTGCATTGCCATGGCTTATCCTACTAAAACGCAGATAAAAACAAAAAATTGCATCTATAATAGTACAGTAGAAGCCGTTTTTCCGGTTAACCCTTAATGCTCTCCCTCTCCTCCCACTTGGGAATTTCAAAAAATCCCTTCTTAGTGTGCGTTTTCATGATGTACCCTAACTGTGTACCAAATTTCACCTCTTTAGGTCCAGCGGTTTGCTCTGGGCGATGATGAATCAGTGAGTCATTCAGTCAGGACAAGCAATTTTATATATATAGATAGATGATGATCTGCTTTAGTTCATTTTTACAGAAAAGCATAATGCCTCACAGAAAAGCAAACTTAGGGCGTTGTACTCGTAGCGCCATCTGTTGGACATAAAAGTCTTAACCATAGATGATATCATTTAATTTATATGAATGTTTAATGGAATAATATACAGCCTATGTCCACCCTGAAGTTCCATTCTAAATATTGGTGAAAGAATTTTTGAAATCGGATGAGTAGTTTTGGAGATTACCTGCTGCATACAAACTTACATACTTACAAACATTACCTCTTTATAATATTAGTATAGATGAATGGAATATTAGTATATTCCTGTTTTACAACACATTTTGTGGCTTGTCCTGTTTAATTTTTTTGTTTGTTAATAAGTAGTATTTTCTGCCTGTGGAATACTCATGTAAATTATTTTCTTTTGAATTACTTTCTTAAATTTAAGATTATTTAAATTTGTAATAAATTGACAATAACCATTAATTTAACAAACCTGTTTGCATAGTCAACCACTACGAAGTCTTTTGAAGTTCCAGTAATTCCATCATGGTGTTGAAACAGTCCCAGTGTTCTTCGAGATTCTATGAGATTTTTTACATCATTTTCCAAATGACTTATCTGTTCTTCTTCGTCTTTTGGAGTCTTAGACCATAATAAAGAGAAGAGAATTTCAGCTCCCCTAAAATTTTTAAAATTAAAAAAAAAAAACAAATCTATTTTATCATTTTGTTTATATTTTAAAAAATTTCAGCTACCAGCAGACAATTATTTCAAATAGAGCTTATTTTAAAATAAGCTTTATCTGTAATAATTTTTTAAAACACACTAACTATCAAAAAGTCATTTTATACCATACTCCATTAGAAACATTTACCCTGTACACAATGTAATACTCTATGTCCATCTCTTGCTTCTTTATAATAGCATTGATTCTCAGAGGCATATTTTCTACCAGTGTTTGCTGGATTCAGGTAGATATATTCTGCCACTCAGTCTCCAATGCATCTGTTGGCTCCCAAGGCATCTAGAGACTGTCTGATTCAAATCCGGAACGCCAATTCACCCCAAAAGTATCTGATTGGAGCTTTGGACAGGCTACTACATACTGAAAAATTCATTTCACAATGTCATGTTAATAAAAGCTACAAAATGACAATATATTGTTGTCTTGAAACATGATATTGTCCATTCCACAGAACTGCCAGAGTATGCAACACTACATTGTCCAAGAGTTTACCAAAGCCCTTAGTGTATGCAACACCAATAAAAAATGTCTTATGGCCAATTATGATAGCTATGGAAGTGTACAATGACTTTTTAGTAGGTAGTGAGCATCACTGTTAATTTGACATTTATTACCTTAGATATGCTTCTAAACTACGATCCATATTTTTATAAAAAGGTCTAGAAGTGAAATAGCCACTCCAATAATGATCATCTCTATCTGCATAAGTAAAAAAATCACCAATTAAAGACGGTAGCCCATTCGGTTGATTTTTAACATTCAGGCCAGTTTCTTCACGAACTGCAGCAAAATAATCATCTAAAGTACCAAACTGAGCCTGAAATAAAATATATATCAATAAAATAATTTGTAAATTTTTGCTAGAAATTCACTAATTATGGATGTAATTACTTGAACATTCCAATCCTCTCGTCCATTCATATAATCAAACAATTTTTGATAATTGCGAAACTGTGAATCCCACTCTGTGCTCTTATCGAAACGGAAATCATCACCAAGAGGTATAAGAACTACGCTCGTGTTATATAATTCAGATTTTTTCCTATATTGATCCAATAAAAGCCATGACCTAGAATGAAAAAACATTTTAAAAATTTGTGGAGGAAGAACAACTTTTATCATCTGATTATATCCATGAAGTGATTACTAATGACCTACTTGATAAAAAAATATTTAAAATTTAAATTGTTAAAATATTCAAAGTGTACATTAAATCAGCATATTGTGCATATAATATTGTTATTATATGTATTTTCCTTTTTGAGTTATAATAAAGTACTTTTAGTAAATTACAAATTCAGTAACTAAAATACATAAAGAAACGGCCAAGGCTAATGATTTCAGTGTAGTATATCGACGCAATCCTACAGTTTTCAAGCTATTAAGAAACGATAAGAAGCGTTATGACTGGAAATCGGCATCAGGAATCTATTCTATACCATTACACAATCAGCATTTTAATTCGGATCTTGTCTACATAGGCGCAACAATGCGCAAATTGCAACAACATATCAAAGAGCATAAATATACAATTAATAAGAAACTTGACAACACCGTGCTATTGTCTTACGCAACGCAACACGACATTCAAGTCCATTGGGATCAGGCGCAAATTATTAAACCTACGACAAATTTACATACAATGAAATATCTGGAGAAATTAGAGATCTTTAAGGCACATAAGAAAACAGGTTGCATCAACCATAGAGATGCGGACTCTTTACCTACCGCATGGCGATCCTTTTACAAGAATTAATGACTTTATTTATTTTTATTTGTTAAGGGACATTTTTTTGGATTAATTTTTATTTTTTGTTTATTTTTATCTACTTTTTCATTATTTATATTTTAATTTCGTATTTACGTTCTTTTTTGTGTTCGATTTTATTCTATGTTATGGTAACTGAAGAAGATCGTTAAGAAACGATCGAAAACGTTATTATATTATTAGTTTTTATTAGCTGGATTATTAAAGGTNTATTTTAATTTCGTATTTACGTTCTTTTTTGTGTTCGATTTTATTCTATGTTATGGTAACTGAAGAAGATCGTTAAGAAACGATCGAAAACGTTATTATATTATTAGTTTTTATTAGCTGGATTATTAAAGGTGTGTTTTATTAATAGTCAATTTACTTTCTTACAGCTGATTATTTATTCCTAGGATACCTTTAATAACTTCAAAGATGCCATTTCAATTTAGACGCTTACAGTTCCCATAAAGAACCGTCATGGTCATTTATACTGGACAACATTACTACTTTGACGAGTAGCACATACCTATGTAAAGTCAAAACCATTACACTGGTAGTTGCTTGTAAGTTTGCACAACGACAACAGGCTGGCTATGTGCAGTTTTCCAGGTTTTCTTCAAGTTAGTAACACCTAACAGTTTCCCATAAAACTCCTCCCAGGAGGCATCCCCCTCAGCATATCGCCCATGTATTACATTAACCAAATAAACTAAACTAAGTGTAATAATTTTTCTATAAACTTGCTATTTACGAGGACATACTTCCATGTAGTTTATGTGTATTCTTATGATATTCTTAAGATGGGTTTTACCATATACATTTTTGAAATTTACAATTAATAATGCAGGGCATAACAATTACCGCATGGGGTACTTTATAAACCCGAGCAAAGCCTACCATAACAGATATATTGTCTTTCTATATATATACTATCATATAATCATTTTTTTTTTATTTGTTTAGATAGTATGTGTAATTGATCCAGATGTTTAATTTCTTACTTTAAAGAACTAAAACGAAAGAAAAATTTTACAGTTTTTATAAAGCAAAAATCCTATTTTTAAATTTAGAATTTCTGCTTTATAAAAACAATATTATGACTTTTTTATATTTGTTTATATTTAAATATTTAATATTTTAATTAAATAAATATATTTAACAAAATGTTTTAAAATGACTCACCTATCCATAACATTTTTATCAGTTATTGGAACCGGAGGAATCTTCCAAGGACAATTAACTTTATTTCCTGGCAAACGTTTAAAATCAAACTGACAACAAACTTTTGGATTTGGACCACAAGAATGAGGAACATCATAGCTATAAAATGGCATCATGTGACATAAAATATCTGTTGTATGGTTTAGATCTGAAATTTACAAAATTTATTAATAAAAATTAATTATTTTATAAACTTTTATTACTGAAATTCCAAACATTTTATCAAATAAAACATACATATATAATATTAATTTCGTACTTCTGAGAATTGCTTATTTTTAATGCACTAAATAGAATGGATGAAATTACTGATACATATATTTATATTTATTTACTTTAGAACATACATGTATTAGTATTTAAAGAAATTATAAAGAAATTAAAATTTTAAGTTGACACTAAAATTTTAATTTTGCAGGAACTCCTCTCTGAAAAAATAAGAGAAAAAAGCACAAAAAAATTATATCATATTTTCGCAGATTGTCTGGCATGTCGTTCTATCCGGGAAGACCATAAAATCAGATATTTCCGTATGATAAAAGCCAACATACTGGTTTAAGTGAGGTTATAAGTGAAGTTATACGTCCCTTTCTACAGGGTATGTAAAAAAAGGAACAAGTTTTTACTCTAAAACTGTGAAACTGTCAACATTACATCAAAAATTATGACTACAAGTTTAATTTCATTTTGTTTTCTTTCTAACAACGTAAGATACTCAAGATGCCAAAAGTGTTTTTTTTTTTTTTGTTTATTTTATTGTAATTGGATCCAAAAATACACATATCAAATTTCAGAAAATTGCTGTAAATTATATCAACTCATGTCCATTTTGTGTGAAATTTGAGAGGAAATTTTTAAGGTGCGGGTAGACGGTCAGTGCAGCCCGCATTGTCTAACTACTACTACAACTAATGTCAGTAAGTTGTTAATTGTTTTATTGTTTAGTAAACCAAAACTCTTCTTGAATTTTATTCAGTCAAACTACAATGTTATTGTTTTATTGTACTGGGAAGAATGTTTTCTTTCTTTAACCAGTTTTGTTAGATCTGATTAATTTTATTTTTTAGTCACAGTTTAGCTAGCATGCTGGTAACACCAGAGTTTCTGGCATGCTGGTCTCCCCCGGTTATATGCAGCATATCAGTCATCTAAAATATGTTACTCAAAATTTATTTTTGAGTAACATATTTGAGTAACACATTTTTGAGTAACATATAAAAGAAGGAAAAAAAAAATCAATCATATCATACAGGATGTCCAAAAAGTTAATGTGTAGCAATAAATTTGTAATACCATTAAAGTTATACGTAAGGAATAGCATACAAGACCTGTAGATTGTGTGTAGATGATTGAGTGATCTACTGAAGCAGTTACTTTATGAAAGCTATAGTTGTGACAACATATGGTAAATATACGAATCAACAGAGAGATGATAAATTTGGGATAATGTGAATTGATGTTTTATATCGTTTATTTATCCAATACAGACTTATAAGTTATTTTATTTTAAATATACTGATAAAATTCAATAACTGATTGTTGTTTAATTAGTCATTTATGATATAGAAGAATGCTAGAGACAATTATAATAGAAATCAACTATTATAAACATAGGTAGAGTATATGAGTAAACAAACAAAAAAAAAATAAGGCATACAGAAAAGCTGCTAAGACAATATTTCATTGAATAATAAATTATAGATTTTTATCACTTTGAATTTTCAATTTAATCATCTTTCAGTAAAATGGAGATCATTGTCTCCATTTTACTAAGAGACAATTTAAATTTTTATAATTAGTAAATAAATGTATTTGCAAAACTATTCATTAAGTATTAATTAAGTTTTAGACATACCCCATCCTTGTCTCCAAAGAAATTCTAAACTATGTTGTTGTGCCAAATACTTTTTTACCGAATAATGAACTCTTTGAATCACCATATTTTCTAATGCCGTCCGCCGTAATATGTAAGCCATGGTTGAAGAAAGACCAAACGGATCAATGGCCCATCCATTTTGTGGATGGTAATCTATAAAATTGAACAAAAAAAATTCATTATAACTATTAAGATTTAATGTGTTTAATCAAAGATTATAAAACTCACTTTACATAAATCATTAACAACCTACACCTGTACATGAAATTTACTTGCAAATAAAGTTAAAATTAAATTATTTCATAAATCAGTTTTTGCAGGAATTTATTTTTAAGCAACTTCTCAGTATATATATATTTTCAAATAAATGTGCTTACAAGCTTTTGCACTTACTTTTGGACAACAGACAGAGAAATTAGAATTGCTTAATGTAAAAGTTCAAGTAACCAATAATATAAGTTTGTGCACAATGCAATGTTAGCCCTTATGCTTCATGTAAATTGGGCTTAACAGATGTTACATTCATAAAAAATTTTTATACGAGAAACTTGTTTTAGATATATACTTATATGTGGATCAAAAAGTAAGTTATATCTTAGAATAATAACTGTTCAGAAAGAGATTTTTAAAAAATCCTGCTTGGTGATAACACTAATTAATAGTAGTCTTCCCAACTAAACTTTTGTTTCAAACTTGTAGCTCATTTTGCATACAGGCAGCATTTATTTAAACATGTTGTGTCACTAAGAAATGCCATACAATGAGCATGCAATGGTGCATTTTTTTATGGACAAGAAATCTTAGTCACGAAAAATTCATTGGTAAATTATGGAAATGTGTGGGCCAAATTCTACATCACAACCAACGATCTATATACAGTTCTGTTGAACTGATGTCGTTGATGGATTGTGCTTGCTTTTTGATCCACCTTCAAATGTGCATACTGACCTAAATGTTGTTCTAACCACTGATGACCTTCGACTAACTGATCAATAATTGCATAGTAATGTGTACTTGCTTCATCACTCATTACCCATCCTCCTGTAACTATTTCTAATTGCCCATCTGAAATATACCTGAAAAAACAATTTAAAAGCACTGAAAAATATATTTTAAGATTATTATTTTTTAATATTATCAAAATAAATTGCATAATTATAAAATATATAATTTTCAAAACGTTATATGAATAAAAAATTATTAATGACATTTTCAAAACTATTATTATTATTATTATTAAATATTAAATTATATTCAAGTTTATTCATATTAACAATTTCAATAAATATTTATTTACTTATACTTTATATTATTATTAATTTGACCTTAGAAACAGATATTAATCACTGTTTATTTGGAACATTTATAAAATTGTATCAATAATGATTTAAAAAAAGAATATCTCTGTAAATGGAAAAAACAATTAAATTGAGATAATCCATAATTTAGTAGAAAACATTGTAAATTATATAAATGAATGATCAGTGAGAATGTGTCTATGAAATTAATAAAAAAAATAACTTTCAATAAATGTAATTCTTAATTAAAACACACACCAATATCTTGAATAATGCTACCTTGTACAGCACTGCTATGCTACAGCACTCTTATTTATAATGGGACTTCAAAAGAAATGTACCATATATTTTGAAAAGGCTTTTAATATTACAACTGTATAATGTTTACATATCATACTTCAATCTTCAGGTACAGCATCCCATTTTTCCACATAGTCCCACAATTCTGAACAGCTTTTCTCCATTTTGAAAGAAGTGCCCATATCCCCATTTGGTAGAACTCCAAATCAATATTCTTCAGCACATTTTTGCCATTACCATAAGTAACTTGTTGGAAAACTTAGTTCCTTGCAAGGCATCCTTCAGTTTATTGAAGAGATGGAAGTCAGTTAATGCTGAGATAAAGATTATACTGCAAGTAAGGCAATATGATCTATCTGATTTTTCCAATGGCTTTCTTGGCTTAAATTTTGGTATGCAGCCTTACAATGTCATGCTGAAGGAGAATGTCTGTCACCTGCCTGTGAGGATACACACAACATGGGCATAAATGAAGCTTTTTTCAGTGTGTCTCATACGCTGCTAAATTCGTGGTAGTCTCCACAATCTCCACAAGAAAAACACCTTCTGTGTCCCAAAAGACCGACACCATCATTTTGCTGGCAATGGGACTCATCTTAACTTTTTCAGTGGAGGAGAATTTGTATGATGTCATTCCAATGATTGCTGTTTGGCTTCTGGCTTGAAATGGTGAAACCATATTTTGTCTCCCATCACTATTCCCACAAAGTCACCCATTCTTGACCAGCAATTGTGCCAACAGTTCAGAAAAAACACACTTGCATTGGTCTTTGTGACCATCCATCAGCTGATGGGGCAGCCATCTATTACAGACCTTTAAAAATCACAACTTCTCCAGTATGCCTGCATATGCTTGCTTCTCCAATGTTCATTGTATACTAGCTATTTTACAGTTATGCAAGAATCACAAAAAACAGCACACCTCTGAGACTTAAAAGTACAATTCCAGAATAGTTTAATGCAGATAAAACATAAATGTTTTCAATCTACATAAGAGGTCATCTTCAGGTTAAAGTGTTCTCAAATGGAATGCAGAAAATGGAACATTCTTAAGATAATTTGAAAAAACATATAAATAAAAATTAAAAATTTTTTTAATAATTTTTTTTAAATCAACTGTTCCTGTTAGTATAAAGATTGCCAAGCATAAGATAATTCATCATCATTATTGAAATTGATGCAACGACCCCTTTTCAGATATGAATATCTTTATATAAGCTTCTCATGTTGTGGTTATAATCTAGAACGATGCAGCACATTTTGTGAGTGTTTCCAATCTGCAATATATTGTTAGTGGGTGTAGAACGAATATCCCTGTTGGAATAAGCATTAGCTAATTTATGAATAAGGTGTTTCTGAAGAATCTATCTACAGCACTATTCAAGAGAGTCATATTTTTAATAGGCTAAAACTAGTTATCAATTTACAAATAAAATGTAAAATGAATATAAACTAAAACAAAAATACCTTTTCACTAACTGTTTTGCATTATTATCAATATTTTCCCACCATAATGCAAAAAACGAAACTTCTGCCCATATAAATCTTCTTCTCGAATCTTCACGAAGTTTAGCCACCATATTATTAAGAATGTGCCGAGTTTGATCAAGAAAATATTTCTCAAATGTTTTTAACCAGCCTAAAATTTCATCAAGAAAATACTTTTTTAAAATCTCGATTGAAATTAGTAGCAGTACTTTAAAACATAATAAATTAATTTGATTTAAATAAATAAATATATTTTACCTGGATCATTATGTGAATGTGGTACAACAAATACTTTAAGTTTTTTCTTTTGCGTCCATTTACTAGCATTATATTGCACATCCCATCCTTGTTTCCACGCTCCACCATCCGGATTGTCAAATTTTAATTTTTTGTACACATTGGACATCTGAAAATTATGTAAATTACAATACAATTTCTTTATTAGATTATATTTAATAATTTTAAGTTATAAAATCAAATTTGGCAATTAATACTTTAAGTTTTTTTTAATGGTTATATAAGTGTCTGAAAAGTTACTTTGTAGTGAAAAATTTGTGATGACATTAAAGTTATACAGGTCTCATATGCAATACCACATGCAAGTTATATGTTGAGTTTCCACTTTATAGAGGACAGCATTACTGCTTGCTCACAGATGTTCCAATTTTTGGACTACACTTACAAGCTATATATATGTATATATTATTATGTTGGGTTTAGTAGGTAATACTCGGTTTAAACCGGTNGAAACCATACAAACATGTTAAATAATAGTCACATTTGATAAAATTGCCAGGACATTAAGTATAAACTTAGAAAATTTACAAAAAATTTTAAAAACTGTGAAAGAGACAAATTGAGAAGACACTTTTTTAAAGTATTTTTGTAAATTTTCTTAGTTAAATAATGAATTTAGGATATTGTAAATGGGAGCGTTCCATTCCATGGCACAGGAGAAACAGCAAACCACCAGGTTGTAGTTTGATTTTCATATTCCAATATGGCAGCATGGAATGATGTGGTTGTGGTTCATTTCTGATGTCATTCTAAATTTTTTTTCTTCTTTTTATTTTATATTCACATTCAATAACTGAAATTCTAAACCCTGTTGAAATTCAATAGACACATATGCTAGCCTGCAAATTTGACACACTAAAATATTATTTCTCAAGTTATCAATTTTATAAGCAGTTTTTTTAAATATCCTGAGTAAACTTACAGTAACTTATTTTAACTTTTATGCTTATAATTACTATTTACTTATTAATAAGACTTGTATTATATAATAGTTGATTTATTTCAAAATCATATAAAATAAAAATGCATAAATTGTGACTGCACCTGTGTATACTGATTTGTAAATGCAGATGTAACAGATGGCACACACATATTTGTATATTTAAACATTATTATATGAAGCATTTGTCTTTTCACAGAGAAAATATGTATCAAAGCATTACATAATATTAAAATCTCTTATAGAAATTAATTATGCTTTATTTTCATAAAAGTAAACAAATTTAACTGCTGTAATGTAATATGTTCAGCTTCATGTTTGTTTTTAATAAAAAAGCTTAACTTGTTTGTAAAAAAAATTGAAGAAAGTATGTGTTAAAGTAAACTTTTTATCATAAAAATAATACATATACAGTAGATCCCCCTATAAGACGGTAGATACGTTCCGTTCTTTATGAATCAATTTTGTAGGAATCATAGTTTACGGACTACAGCTGTTTGAAAGGTTTTCTTTCATAAAATTAATCGATTCTAGACTAATTCGACTCAACATTTCCAAAATACGTATATTTTTTTGAAAATAATCCGTATAAACTACGTTATAAACAAAAAATTGTAGGATTGCTTACCGAGTGTGTACCGTTCGACTACGCCCGTTGCTAAAGCTTGGTTTCGTCGCGGAACAGCGCATCAAACCGCGGCCGCGATTTCTGATATTATTTTTCTGCGAAAACTTCGTTGACCTTTGGAGACATCCTTAATATAAATAATTTTTATGGCCGTTAAATAAGAAATGTTTCTTTCACAAGAAATGTATAAAATTACAGTACTGGACAGACGATAGGTCGCCTAACTCGCCGTAGCGTGACGCTAGACGGCGAAAAATATATATTTAATTATAATAAAGTTACAATAAATTAAGTTAATATATAATTATATATACAGTACCTAATTTATATATAATTAATATATAATTATATGTACAGTACCTAATTTATATATAATTATATGAACAGACGATACTAAACTCAATTTATCCGCCTAAACGTCCGTAGCGTGGCGCTACGGACGGCGGGAAAGTAGTTCGGCTGCCCGATGACGTTTTACGTATTATAGGAGTTATTTTTACCGTTGTTTACGGATAATGCCACAATTTTTATAGGAATCATAACTATAGGAAACGCTTTTATAGGGGGATCTACTGTACTTAATATACAACTTTTCAATATAATCCTATTCAAAGACACATTAATTTACTATCATTATAACAAATAGATAACAAATACCTGAATATCAGCTTTTGCTGAAGGTTCTTTGCATATTCCACAATCAAACGGTGATAAAGTTACAGATGTTTGGCTATTATTAAGAAAGTGAGATATATTAAAATAAAAATTAGATTTTTGAGAACTGTCGCCCGTTGTTCCTTTTAACATTTCTCTGACAGCATCCTTTACTTTTCCGAGCATATCTCTATTTTTCTGCAGTTCTTCTTCTAGCCTTTGTAACCGTTGTTCTATCATCATAAATTCATTCTGAAAAATAAATAAAATAAGTAAAATCACAATGATTACATAATTATTTATTTAAAAACTACATATAAATTTTTAATCAATAAATAATTGTAAATTCTTGTAATGTAGATACAAATATAATTTTCTTCCAGAATGCAAAAACTACCAAGACTGAAGATAATCCTGCAATAAAAAAAAGTGTTTCAAGTGTCCAGGAAGTTGTACAATAGCGGCACAGTAACAATTTCAATGTAAAATAATACAAGTATCATAAAACACAGGTTTAAACATATTCAAGTTTAATTTTTAAAATAACCAGTTCATTCCTAGTCTACACAACGTAAATGAAATAAATGTTGCAAAATACAGGACAAAGCAAAGGCAACACAAGCACCTGGTGAATGTAACACCTGTGTTGCCACCAGGTCTTCTTGCATTTCTAACCATCCAATGCACTCTGACGGCATAATTTTGGCTTTATTGTGACTGATTATGTTTTTGCATCTGTTGTCAACTTTCTCATCTTGCTCATTTTTGCATTTTACACTAGTTTTTCACTGTGTATCTATACATTGGAAATACATATAATATACATATCTTTAATATTGTATAAATAATTTTCTGAAATCTTCCAGCCTATGTTTCTTTATCTGTCAAGTTTCCAATCCCAAAATCATCAGATAATCAAAGTTTTTATTGTGTATGAAAATTAAATTTCTGCATTTAACAATAATAAGAAGCTTTAATCTTTTAAATGTGTATTTGTGAATGAATGATGTACAGTACCTAGTATGGGGTGCGATATAACAACGAGCTACTACATTAATACATTATCAACGAGTTACTACATTTTTTCTCTACATTTTTATAATTATTTTAAACTTACTAAGTTATATTTTAAAAAGTTTTGTTTTAATTTTCATATATTAACTTTGAGATTAAATAAAATAAATACTTATTTTATTTAATCTCAAAGTTCTGTTAAACAAAAAATGATTCAGTACTGATTTTTACAGTTGTTAAAGTGGCATAATGAAAACATTATCACTTTTTCTTATCAGCATTTTATCATTTGACCTAGAAATCATCTCACTATCTGTAAAGATGAATTTCAACCTCGTAATTGAGAGCCAAATGATGTCTAATACAATTATTAATTTAAAAATTTTCAAAACTTTTAAATTAATAGATAACATATTACAAATGCTTATCTAAGCATTTCAGTTGTTACCTAATACCTTTCCGATTAATTGATTCGTTAGCATTACTCCACCAAAATCCGATACTTTGTGAAAACTGAAAACAATTCAGAATGACACATCATTTAAATCTTCTGTAGTGAATATTACAAACATTGAAATAATTAAATTTTATTGTGAAAAATCTTAAAATATTTCCTACTAGGATAAAATTTCTATTCTCGTATTGTTACTATGACATATAATATATGAATCTAGTATAGATTACATTGAATTAATATATAGCATCACATCAATAACATAATATGATTTGCATCGATAAACTGCAGCTCTGTATATGAAGAGATTATAAATTAAGTACGATAATATTGATAAATTGTCTGATGTAAGGGTAACTATATTTATACTTGAGAATGATGACTCTAAATTCAAATGGTTTTATAACATCATTTTAGTAACTGTAAAAATGCACTACTGGACTATTTTTTGTTTAACGAAACGTTCACATTAAATAAAATAAGTCTTTATTTGTGAATATATGGAAGTAAAACTTTCTAAAATATAACTTAGTAAGTTTAAAATAACTATAAAAATGTAGAGAAATAATGTATTTAATAATACAGTAGCCCATTGTTATATCACATCCCATTACATCACTCACTGAGATGTGTTGCACATGTTTTTTCCTTCCAAATATAAAATTGGTTTAGTCAATAATTTCTTAAAAAATCACTTGGAATTGAATTTCTACTAGCATCCGATCATTTACCTTGACACTACCATTGTATGAAATACAATCTATAAAAAAGTAAGTCAGCACGATGATTACAAATAGATATATCATTTATATAACACCTTCTGATATATGGGTCATTTGGTTTATCTCTCAACATATGCAATATAAGTGTATATGACACGTACACTGAAGATAATTTAAAAGTATAATAACCAACCAACCACAAAAACCAGCATACAATTTTATATGACGAATACTTTCAATCTCACAAAGACCACCGGAGTTCCCCCACATTAACATAAAACAGAATATAATGCTAACTTACTAAAAATGGAACACATCAATTTAAAACATTTGAAAGAATGGTCAAAAGTACACTTCATATAACGTCATGTGCTGGTTTTCAAGGTTGTTATTTATAATTCATTAACCAGTTTATTCCAGTTGAAGATAGTTAAAAGTATCATCAACATATGTTATATATAATTGAATAATTTCATTATTATTCATTTAATATCCTAATTAATTTCAAATATTTTTATACAATTGATAAAATCCAAAAATAAATTAACACAATTAAAACTAATAAATAATCAATCGCATTCACAAACAAACATTAAAACATTTGAAATCCTTAAAGTAAATATTTCTATAAACACATCTACTCTCTCCATTAAATTAAACAACTACGGTTCACCGTAGGCATTCTTTTGGTCAAACTCGAGCAGCGGCCTACATAAAGCTCAACTATGATCGTGATGTACCTTAGTGAAAGATTAATATCGTGTGGATCTGCTCATATACATATAACTTACAGTTTATGATGATGCAATAGAAAATTTACTGATTCTAATGAATATTATATAACAGACTATTATTAATTAACAATCAAGTGATAATCCAAAACACTAAATTTTTTCACATTTTACATATTCTATGATGCAAGACAAATGATTATTCAAATCCACATTTTGATATATAATTTGAGGAGAGATAAAATGTCTCAAACATTTAATCATGAATAAATCTCCAGGCTAATTAAAACTTTATTTTTTATGAGATCAACAAAGATCCTGTTAAAAATAAAAGTTTTCATCACTTCAATAAACAATCTGGTATAAAAACAATTTTATTAATCAGATAAAATGATTAAACTAATTATAAATGATATTTTACAAAAGCAATCAAATATTTAAAAAAGTAAAATTAACATAAAATCAATTAAATGTATTTTGAAAACCTTCTCCTTCTCAGATGCTGTACGCAGACACTTGTCTAACAGCTTAAAATTCAAGCATTTGAACTACAAATGTGCCAAATTACATATTTCATTTTAAGATGGACGAGAAATGCTTCAAGAAATTTTTAATGCAATGTTGACAATTTCTTTAATAAATGATGTTTTTTAAGACTGAATTTATTGACAAGAAGCTAATAATTTGGCTATATACAGTCCATAAATGGGGTTTAAAATATTCAAAATAGTAATTTCTATGCATTTGTTTCTTAACTTTTATAAAATTATTTTAATATTAAGAAAAAAATCAATGCTAACACAATACAAGCTAATGCAATCTGAACGGATAATTTGGAGGTAAACAGTAAAATTTTGGTTTAAATATAAAAATATAGTAGTAAAATTGATAGTTACTTAATATAGAGAAAATTAAGGCTTGTTTATAGTTCAACACCAGTGTGGCATTTCAAGGTCATTAGCTGTTACTGGCGTTAACTTAACAGTTCATTGCAGTTAATGCTTCATTTGATACAGCATGATGTTAGCATCAAACTCTAAAATTCCACATCATTTATTTTTGTTGTGGGACAAAATATATATTGCAAACTATACAAAATGAAAGAAGTACAGTTAAAACAAGTTTAGTTGAGATTTACTTTTATCACTTATTAATTATCAAACATTAAAATATCCACAAGATTAGATTATATATATGATATAAAGTTAGTAGCACTGAGAATGAAATAGAATCAAACATAATATAGTTTATAGTTTCAAGTGTAAATCAGCTGTAGCAGAACGAACTTAGTGGAACTCCACAAACTCTGCCACTGAAGTTCCTTGCTGCAGTCAAACAGTTTGATTTTTACTTAATTTTAAAATATTTGGTAAAAGAACAGTTTAATATTAATTTAAAACAAAATTTAAACCTTAAATATATCATTAACAAATGTAAAAAACATAAAAATGTCATTTTCCAGTTTTATAGGCATAATTATTTAACAAAATCATCATCTTTAGTATGTTTTGCATACTGTACTTTATTAGACTATTTATTTACTTTTATTAAAACCTAAATATAGATATCCCAATTACAAATTATATATCAATTCAACTGGCTTTTTTTACAAATACAGTTTGCTAATATCGCATGATTAAAGCTATTGCTATCTAAATGGACATTATTTTCTATCAAACAACAACATTTCGAGTCCTAGATTTAATCATATAATGACACATTTACCAAGCATTATATTTCTATTCCAATTCTCTAAATGTTTATCTAAATTCTGTAAATAATTTCCTTATTTAATCAAAGCAAGCTAAATTTTCCAAATTACATTCTGCTGAACTTTTATGTTGTACAAATTAAAAAAAAAACAAAAAATAATAATAAAAACTGGATCGAGTATAACTTTGTTTGACAAAGGTAGGTAGCTCTAAGGTTTCATTTTATTTTAAAATTAATTACTCATTTTTATCATAGAAAACTTTTCACGAATGAAAAAAATTAAAATCAAAATATTTATTAACTGAAAATTTGTTCTAGCGGGTCTCGATCGTTCGGTCGAGTACCAAGGTACAGTACCACTATATTTGATTAATGCAATTTTGATATACGCGGTAGCATCGAAAGATTAATTAATTGCATTAATCGAGGAATAACAGTACAGTATTATAAAATGGCAAAAGGCTTAATTTTGTGGGTAGGGATGAATTTTATAAAAAATTAAATGCTCATAATCAATAAATCCATCATTAAGTCCGACCACACTTGAGATAAGGCACATGACGCCCCTCTATCTCCCGTCCCTTCCACCTTTAGCATCACCAAAATTTAATAGCATTG